AAATAACACAGTAACCAACAATACAGCACAAAATAATAATAAACAAAAGACAAACAAACTCCCATTGGTCCCATTGGAATTAAAAAAAAGGATAAACATCCATGATAGTATTTCTCTTTTGAAAATAAATAGATCACATAGATCACAAAAGTATTTAATGTTTTCAGTTTGTACATTCTTTACATTTGATAGTAAATAAAGTTAATGAAGTAGCCTATTATTAATATACGACTAATATTATCTTTATTTGTCCCACAGGGGAAACTGTTACTAATGATGGAAATAAACTGAAATATTATTGTAATCAACTGTCATCCATACGTATTCATTTTAATAATCTTTGTAATAATTCATATGATTTTACATGTGGCCTGAGAAAATCATGTCTATTATTTTGGTTTGTGAGATCGGAGAAAGCGCTGCGCACGTGTTCAAACATTCAGGAGGACACAAACTGTCTTTGAGAATGCAGTCCCGTGACTTTTATTAATAAAATAGATTAAATAGCCTACTGGAGAGACGCACAGACGCAGGTAGGCTAATTCACACAGGCAACGGTCACCTCTCTCTCTCTCTCTCTCGAATAATTAATTAATGTAGCTAAATGTTATAATTAATTCAAATAAATGTGATCTTACCGCACTATTTCATCTCTTTCTGATATGAAGCGGGCAGAATGCTGAGCTAACGAGCTGTAACTTCGCGTCAGGTGGTTCTTGCCTTCACGTCGTGCATTAAAATCGTTCAATGTACAGCTAGCCGTGCATCATCCCTTATGTATTCGCTCTTTCCGTTCCGTGTAACACAAACACTCGGTTTAGCGGAACCTTTACGATGAATTAACCGTGACGTTTTAAAGCGCGGTTAATTGCGAAAATGGTTAATCGCTGCATCCCTAGTTGTTTGTCATTTCTCCGATCACAAATGCAGACATGGTTTTATGTTTACGTGGCGCGATGCAACGCAACGCGTAAAAAGACAGTATAAATCATTATAATCCATAATTATGTACCCACTGGATGCAACGAATGCCTCGTTTATAATGGGTTTTAATGTTTTTGAATCATCGCCCCGGCCTGACAAGGCATCACAGTATGGTAGGGGCGTAACATTTCCGTCACATGCTTGAGGTATTCGGCCAATCACAACGCACTGGATAGCTGGCCAATCAGAGCACACCTCGCTTTTCAGACCGATGAGCTTTGTAAAAATCGACGTGTTTCAGAAAGGTGGGGCATAGAGGAGAAACAATAATGTACATTATGTGGAAAATAATGTGCTTTTTGAACCTTAAACCGCATAAACACATTTCATTACACCAAATACACAAAATAATGTTCTTTTTAGCAACATCATGACCCCTTTAAAGTAAACATTTCAATCGGTCTGACTGAGCTCGAGCTGAACGAAATTTTGTTTAGATTAAAAAGGGTGGTGTTGAACCGAAATAATCAGAAAACATTAAGCATGTAAACACTAACTATTTTCTCAGACGGTTACATAAACACCCTTCCCACATGAGCAATGCCATGATGCATGTTTTTTATGCAAGTTTTACGTCATAAAGAGCATGTGTATGTTTACTGATGTCTCATGTCTTATGAACTTGTCAGTAGATGAGACTAAATATTTACTAAAAACCTCTTTTTAGGGCCTGGTCACTTCACACGTTTTCTTTTTTGCTGATCAGATAGCTTTCCAATCGTGAAAAGACCATCGTGAAAAAAATGGTTTCTTTTTCAGAGGGTATTCGTTTTGCTCACACCAATTGTGGTCTTTGATCTTGCGCTTAGCTGATGATAAAATGCAGCTCATATCTTTTCCTTTCATTGATGTGAACGCAGTTAAATTTGCATATAGTGCAAGAATTGAAGATCAGATATACACTTGTTTTGGAGGAGACACATTCATGTGGCCAAATGTAAATGGAAGCATTTTAACACATCAGATAGCTATCCGATCAGTAAAAACAGATTAATTGGCAAAAACAATAACTGTACTCAAGTTAGCTCCGGTGACATTATCAAAGTGGCCTTCTCCGGTTCTGAATGCAGCGACTGGGTACTGAAGATTTCAGAACACGTTTAATGCATATGTAAACAAATGTGTGAATCGGATTGCAATGTTAAGGGCTCATATAAATAGAAATTTCAGAATCTGAAACTGGAATGGATTCATTCTAAAACTAATTGCATGTAAACATACCTAATGAGTTGTACTATTAGAACGCTTCTAGAATCCTGCTCTCTAGATATCAGTGTCACCATCAGTCCATGGGGGGGAAAAAACTAATCCACCAATAATTCAAAGTGATGCTGGCATGGTGATTATACCCTTGCTTTAAACTTGACTTAGTATTCTACACAGGCAAGTGCTGATCTCTGCACTGCTACACGCTTGTAAAACCTGTAAGAGCAGCTGGCCTCTCTGACACTCACAGCAGAGGGAGTGTGTATCTTCCTCTGATAGTGTGCCGGTGAGGACAAACTGTGATGCAGCTATAGGTCAGAAGAAAAGACACTCACCGACATTACAAACTTTTGGTCGATGTATTTTTTGGCAATGTTTGGCTGGAAGTCAGGTGACTCCAGGAATCTTAAGAAGAATTCATACACCAGCTGAGGAAAGGAGAAAGAGGAGGTGAGAAGGAGAGATAGTAATAAAACTCAATACTAATACATGATTAATGTAACTGTCTGGTCCTCTTTGCCACCAAAACAATAAATGCTGTCAGTTCCTGAACAAATGGGCTTTATAATCATTTGAGACAGACGCTTTGTTCCAAAACCGAGTGAACTGCTTCACTGCAACCTCACTGGCAGGAACCTCATAAGTGACTGGACTGCAATGCTCTACATAAGCAGCAAAACTGTGACCTACACAAATAGTGCTTTTTTGACTATGATTTTAGCATAGTGCTAAAGCTAACAACAAATATAGAAAAGTCCAATCTGAATTTGATTGAACTATTTTTGCTCTCCAAAATACATTCTTCAGTATTGAAAGATATTTTTATAATGAATATTTGGATTTATTTTCCCCTGAGCTCAGTGCAATGCATGTGATTCACCACAAAGGACATGTATGATGCTACCTTGAATTTGGCCAAATTCAAAGTTTTACAACCTGTGCTGATGGAGGTGATATGGTTTTGTATCTTCATTGCTTCAAAACAGTTAAAGCCTTGAATTTTCACAACATAATACAAACAGGCATATGAAAGGGAAAATGCCAAGAACGACCAGCGACATTCACTGAGGGTATACACTGAAGATTTTGCTAAATATGACATAGTACTGTTGATCATATAAAGCTGCACACACCTGCAGGTGAGGCCAAGCTGCCTCTAGAGTGGGTTCGTCCTCCTCTGGGTCAAACTCTGCTCCCGTGGGGTTAGAAGAGGGCGGCAGAGTCCTGAACAAGTTTATAGAAAACTGGAAAGAAATACACATTATCTGTCATTATGTGAACAGAGAAACTACCTATTCTAAGAACATATTAAAAGTACTGTAATATACCAATATACTGTAATATTTCTATCTGGTATATCATAAAGAAATATGCATTAGAGACCTTAGAGAAAAGAACAAAATTACAGGTATAAAAACTAACACAGTAGAGTTCTCACAATATTTTTTTGGTATCAGGATATCAAGTAATATTAGGACCAAGTGAGTAGTAGTATTATTGTGTGGATGTGTCTTTACTACAGAGGCTTTTCTGTTGCATTAATAATTTCAAGTTGACAAAATTATTATTGCTACACTGGAACATTGTTAAAAAAAAATTATTTTTAACTAGGGATGCACCAAATTTTACTGCGCGATGTGATGCTCTGCTCAATATTCCGCTCTATGAATATTGTGCTCGTGTACCGCTCATACTCACCGGAAAAGCAAAGTCCGCTCATAACGCACCAACAGGATATTTCTTTGTAGTATATTTGTTCCTGTCTGCAATAGCACTACTGTGCTGAAACATGGCAACGCTGGTAAAATGACGCTACTCTCTTGGACGCTCTGCTCTGCTCACATGCTCCGATAATAAAAGCTTTGTAGGATTATACATTATTCGGATAATTAGTTTAAAAAAAAGTTATCCACAATTGAAAACAACTGCTATTTGCTCTCATTTTAGAATAACAGGAAGCAAACCAAAATAAATGGTTTTTCATGCTATGAGACCAAAAATGGACATCAGTAGGGGTGCTACCGATCACTATCGGCCGATAATCGCTTTGGGATGATTGATCGGCGTCTCTAAAAAGGCTGGTCTCAAAAAAACGATTTCAAGCTGATGACGCGCCTGCCGTGAAAGATTTGGCACGACATGCAGCGGCACCGTCTCAGTCTCTGTCCGGCGTGGGTAAAATAGTTATAATGCTGAAGGTGAGGTACTCTCTCTTTCTCTCTCAAAATACGCAAATGGCTTCAAATCACTACACATCGCGTCTGTCTATAAGCGAGCTGCACGCTGCACAGTTGACACAGGAATTGTCACTTGCACAATTGAGGCAGTGTCACATCGTCACTAAAGTTTATAAATTGCATTACTTTTTAATTCTTGCCAGTGTTTAACCATTCAGCGCTTGCACGCTCTCCTGGAGACCGTGCGCTCATGCACACACAGCACACACACATAATGCCAGGTTCACATTACTCCATTTGCAGTGCGAATGTGGTGCGTATTTTTTCCACGCTCATGTTAACAGATTAATAAAGCGTGCACACTGCACACCGCTGCTGTCCGGCAGTGCGTTCAGGAGCGGTGCGTCTGACTTTTTTCTCCATGAAATTTATGAAATCCCAGCATATATGCTCCCGATAAATATTTGTTATTAAAGCATCAACATTCACAGAACACTGTTATTTTTAACTAAAGCAAGCGGCTGCTACGTGCATGGTTTGGCATTTATAATCTCTAAAAGACATCTCAGTTCATCGCAATCTCACAGATCTGTTATAACACAATAAATATATGCATAATGAATCTTTCATAAGGTCTACAATTCCTGTATTATAATGAGAGGATTTACGCTTGCACCTGTTAATCGTTTATATTTTATATTAGTTCATGTTGCTTTTGTGCAATAGATGAATAACAATTTATTTGTTTTAGATATTTTATGTTTAGATATTTCTATTTTGCGGGAGTCCCGTGAATCATTTTATTTTCCCGCATCCCGCACACACACGAGTGTCTACTCGCCCGCACCAGCACTCGCTCATCTTGTCCCGCGCTGCACTCAGTTGCATCGGGTCTCACGGGAGCAGGTCTCTAATCCACTGGCACTTGACTCGACAGTGCGTGTGCTACATCCTTTTTACAATCTCAAGATTATAAAACACTGCATTCTGTCAGCAATGTAACGCGGCAGTAACGTATAGAGACTTCGGCTTGTGACTATACTCTAATTACTATTTTGAAAATTATAATGCGTTAAATTACTTCGTTACTAAAAAAGTAATCAAATTACAGTAATGCGTTACTAAGTAATGCGTTACTGCCCAACACTGGTGTTAGTTCATGTAGCCTATTAACTAACATGAACAATACATTTATTACAGTATTTATTCATCTTTCCTAATGTTAGTTAATGAGAATACAGTTGTTCACTGTTAGTTCATGTTAATTCAGAGTGCATTAACTGTTGATTTTAATAATGCATTAGTAAATGTTAAAATTTACATTAAGATTAATAAATGCTGAAGAAGTATTGTTTATCGTTCATGTTAACTAAAGTAGTTAACTAATGAAACTTATTGTAATGTGCTACTAACATTAATATAAATTCTGTCCAATTTTATTGTGTTACTTTCAGTAAAAAGTATGTTGTGGTTTTTAAATTCAGTATCATTAAAATGGAGTTAAATTAAAAAGTCTTACAAAATTACTTTGTATTATTTAATTACAAATTACAAAGCATTAAATTAATTTAATTAAAAAAGCATTTTCGGATTGGGTTTTCGGCCAAGTGCATCCAGAATTTTCAGTTTTGGCCCAGAATTTTCATTTCAGTGCATCCCTATGTGACGAGTGGGGCGGGGCCGAGAGCCGTGGGAACGGAGCGAGGCCGGTGGAGTAATTGATAATGAGCAACACCTGCACCACTCACCGGTCTCGAGTCTCACGGAGGAGCTCCGGAAGGATAAAAGGGAGGAGTGACGACAGTGTCGGACGAGAGAGGACCAGGCCTGGAGTTTATTTTGTGTTTTGGTTCTGTTTGTGCGCGACAGTCGTCCGCGAGGGGCTGTCGCACTATTTTGTGTTTATTTTATTATTAAAGTTTTCCTTGCACATTTGCCGGTTCCCGCCTCCTTCTTCCCGAACTACAAACTTTGTTACACCCTATTTTTAACAGATTTGTATTGCTTCACTTTCACACAGAAAAATGAAGACAGTAAGGCTAAAATGTTTACTTTAAAATTGTGTCTTTAATAAGCATTACAAATCCCAAACCTCTCTAAAATCCACCAAACTTATCATGAGAGGCACTTGTGCTGTTGCTTTTGCTTTTTTATTTCACATGCACTATTTTAATGGTTGGCTTATGTAGATATGTGTCAAATGCACTTCTTTTGCCATCAAATGTCTTTTTGGCTTTATAGGATGTGTCAAATGAGTTCATCTTTGAATTCCCATGTTGCATTTCTTTTTGATGCGCTCTGTTACGTTCTATGTGAACGGCACCAAAAAATAAGATCTGCCAATGCTAAATCTGAGCCATGAGCAGGAGAATATACTATTATGCATCACGGTACTGCCGTTTGGACAATATTGTGGTACTACCGCCAGTATTTTGAGGCCTGCTATACTACTGTAAAATTGATACATAATGCTACCCTACCACACTCTTATTGGACAACATGTTTAATACATTGTAGCATTAGAAGTTAAAACTATATATTTAATAAGAATGCATTTGTTATTTTTTAATATACATCTCTGGAAACATCGGTGTCCTTCACTTTAATGTTTGCACACTGAAAATTCCACTCTAAAAACCTCACTTCACGCAGTTATGAACAAACTCCATGGAAATACAACACTGAAATGTCATCCTTCTTTTTGCTCTCATTATGAATCCAAGGCATTAAATATGTATGACCTAAAACATCAACTCCCTCTGAAGTGACAAGTGGTAAGATACTGCTTATTACTCGTGTCCCAAAATGGCTGAGAGGAAGGACAGGAGTGTTACTACTGCAGAGGGGCGGCACTGCTCTCGCTGTCAAGATGACGCAATGTTTCGACCACAGCCTCAGACTAGAGTCGACTCAGACCTCCAGACAGGAGAGGGAGCGGCAAGACATTCTTTCTCACACCTCACACTGAGACGGGAGAGCGGGACATGAGAGTCTAATGCATGAGAGTGAGGGGACAAAGTGTATCTGAAAGCAAGAGATTTATGATTGCGACTGTCTTGCAATACAGTTGCAAGATTTATGATTGGGAATAGGGCTAGCATTTATTAAATGTGCACAATATAAACCAAGTAATTTTATATCACAATGATTTTATATCGCTCATTCAATAAGCATGCATATGCACAAATTTGTGAGATTTTAAGAACAAATCACGATTCACCAAAAGCTTCGTAATAAAATGTATTCTAAATTTACAAAAAAATATAGGAACAACTGAAACCACACGTACGCACGGCCTTATAATCGTGTTAAAAATGTATAGTTCATCTTAATACGACTATAATTATGCTGAAGAATGTACAGCCGGCTAATGAAAGATCTGTAATCTGGGTCTGTATAAAAGGTGTTTATTGTGAGAACTGGTGAGAATGACACACTTGGCATTGCACGAGGATAAGGCGAGTTTATTGAATGGGAGGCGCACTATATGTAGCCTATTGTTTATTCATCAACTGAAACAGAATCGACTGGGATTTAAGAATCGATATTGGTTCATAAAAAAGAGAATCTATTAAAATCGAGAAATCTATTTTTTTTTTTTACCCAGCCCTAGCTTATTTTGTTGTTTTTAGTGTCCTCTGCTATCACTGCGGTGTGTGGTGTTAAACATGAAAAGTGACGCACAGTCTTTGTTCATATGTTCTCATCATAAATAAATAAATGCATAAGCCTATATGCTCGTCCTGTAGGTTCATTATTAAAAATGAAAATGTGAACAAAAATAAAAGCAATTAAATGTGTTTTTATAAATAAAATATGAAAATTAAAATGACGGTTAATCATAGATTATGACGTAATTTTTACGACCCTGTCCGTCAAAATGACGGACAATGTTAAAGTCTAACGCAACCTCTGATTATACACATGCATACACAGAAATACTCATATATTAAATAGCTGCAAAATATAATTGAGGGTTTTTTTTTTTTAGCTACAGCTATATCACTGAGCCCTATTTGGGACCCAGAAGATCTCTTCTTCGAATTATGAACGGCTGAAAGGAAACGCAGGTGTCTAGGCCTTGATTTATGATGGCTAATTACCCATAATTCCCTGGTGTACATTTACACTTGAGCAGATTTTATCCTGGGTCTGGCTAGTAATCACCTCTGCATCGGTCAGGCAAAAGCTATTACCGTCAATTGGTCGCAGAGGATGTGTTATGATAAGCAGGGGTGTGTACTCGCCACATGTTTTGTCCTATTAACTCCCGACCAGATGAGAATCAGCTAACCAACGTGGGTCAAATGGAAAGAAATAGTGGAAGCTAATGTGACATACATGTGTACTGTATACAGACCTACAACTGCTCAAAAGATGTCTGCGCGGTACAGGAACCAAAAGGACAAAATTACTCCTTGTGATTAAACCCGCAGGTGTCAAATGAAATGTTTTTTTATATTTTATATTATGAAATGTTTTTTTTTATAGGTTGCAGTTTTAATGTGTACCATATCCCTGAATCCTTCATGCCACTTGTCACTGTGGGTGGAACGGTTCAACTTACTCACGGTTCGGTTTGTATCACGGTTTTAGAGTCACGATTTCGGTATGGTTCGGTATGTGTTATGTTTAGGCAAAAACTATACTGTCAAATAAAAATAAAGAAAATAAGAATAATCTATCTAACTACAAGCAACAGCACAAATAAATACAATAGAGTAAAGATACAAATAAAATAATTAAAGATTAATCTTTATTAAAGTTATAAAAGCTATTCAATCAAGAGCAGCGAGTGATTTCTTTGTTGTTGCTGTTTGATTAATATTAAGAATGTGCTGTCACTTTAAGAGAATGCACTGATACAGTATGTTCAGCCGGCTATGTCTGCTATAGGATACTTACCAAGATGGGCATTTTGAAAATTTTTGTGTGAATTTGTCCATTTAAACAGGCGGGATTTGCACGCTTCGGAAGACAGATGCGTTGTCAGATTTAAGTTGAACCGCAGTCCTAGCGCGTGCGAACCGTGTGGAGAACCGTACCGTTCGATTTTTTTCCGCAAACCATTCCACCCCTAGTTGTCACTTTTAATAAGTTCTTGTGACTCACGTGAAAGGTGAGTCACACGATGCAGTGCCCCTGTGGCATCACCTAGTGTTCACAATTGAAGGATCTCAAGATGGTACGAGAGGATTAATGTTGCCATGGAAACTGAATTAAAGGGGCAATTTTACATTAAAAAAAAAAAGATTATTACATTTGAGAAAACTGCCAAGTGATTTTTGAAATGCGGTATTTTATTTAGAATCAGGGTTGACCACTGAAGAGCGATAGGGTGGTGTGAACTAAGCCACACACTGCTTATATGCACGAGCACCATGTATGAAAAGCAATGAGGATGTGTCAATATTTGTGCTCCCTCACCATGATGACAGCTTCAGGGTAGATGGCCTCTGTGACCACGTCGCGGTTGTGTGTGATGTACTCCACCATTTCATTGAGGCCAGCTCGCTTCACCTCTTTGTACTTGAGGTCACTTAGTGGATCAGTCACAAAGTCGAAAAGCACACAGCACTGCCGCAGCTTCTGGACAAACAGTTCTTCTCGATCCATGGGTGGGGCATCTGGAATGGGAGACACAAACAAAACAGCCTGAGTGACACCTGTCAGACAGGAGATGGGCGGCAGGCAAAACAGTCAATCAAACCAACCTGCAAACCTCCCAGGAAAGATTTCCAGAGCTCTTACTATGCTATTTCACACCAATGCATCGTTTAAACAGAGCTCCTGTTTAGGAGGCTCTTTGGTCCACCACAGTTTAATTTACACCTTCCTCTCACCTTGACCGTGAAACTCATATGTCTGTCTGTGTGTTGTGAACTGTGTGTCCCTGCATGAGCTTGTGGAAAATAACACTGTTCTGCCAAGGCAACACACTGCTGCAATTATAAACAGGTCATAATGGCTGGACTGAAATCAGGTGACCAAGTATAGGAGATGGGCAATATAGCCTACTGAATATTCAAGATATAATCATAATGCTTTTGCTCACTATAAGCTACCATTTAAAAGTTTTGGATTGGTAACAGGGCTCCAGACTGCGGCCAATTTTCTGCCTGTGCGACTAAATTTTGTAAGCGGTCGCACTGGCGCGACCACCGCGTTGTTTAACTCATAAGCGCTGCCATTTCTGTTGCATATGTGAAACATCAAATGGCAAACAAAACTGAAAGCATAACGAAACCGCGCTACTCGTTTGAACTGCGCAGCGCTTCGAGTGTAGAGCCTGGTTTATACTCGCCGCGTCAGCACGAGTACGAAGGTGACCGCTAGAGGTCGACCGATTGATCGGCCGGCCGATTAATCGGACGATTTTTGGCATTTTTAAATTAATCGGCATTGGCCGATTGTGCTGCAAATTAGGCCGATTTATAGGCACATTTGTGCAAGTCTGAGAAACACTGGTGTCTGTCAGCAAACATAAACAAAAAGCATGCTTCAGAACTGTTTTGAGAAGGTGTTTAAGTTTTGAGCCATGAATTATTACTCCGAATTAGGCTACTACTACTATTACTATCTTGTATCCTGCAATAATCATTTACTCAAACTCACTTTTATGAGATGAAGGGGAAGAAGAAAAAAAAAGAAAATCGGCCAAACATATCGGCCAAATAAAATCGCCATCATATATCGGCCATCGGCTGCCCTGATTTCTAAATATCGGCATCGGCCAGTGAAAAACCCATATCGGTCGACCTCTAGTGCGCGCAGTAAAAATGACGCGAATATTGAGGAAACGATGGATGGTTTTCATGCTAAAGTAAAGTAAAAGACCGCTTCTTAAACCAAAGGTGAACATGTTGGTGTTCTTGTGGGGAAAAAAAACATGCAAGCACTGTCAGAGAAAGCAAGTTTAGTTTTACTTTTCTTTTTGTTTTCATTTGCGTTATCTTTGCTGTATACCTCACGTTATGCTATGGAGGCTCTCTTTTATTAATTATTTTATTTGATTCCTCAGTGTTTGCTAAACGTTCTGTAATTTATTAGTCTGTATATGATACAGCATGTGGTGTATGCCATACCTCATCTTATTCATTTTTGTTAATAAACGTTGTGTCTTGTTTTTACATTGTATCTTACAGTTTTATTGTTGTTGTGCTTTTTAATTAAGAATAACAATGAATCCATCTTTTGTTTTAGTCTTAAAAAGTGAAAGGTATAGATGTAAGCGAGTGATGGAAACAGCAAATTTTTAATAAAAATCGCATATGATGCGATTTCAAGTTTTCCTTTCTCTTTGGTGTCGCTCTGTTGAGGTATTCGGCCAATCACAACGCTCTGGATAGCTGGCCAATCAGAGCACACCTCGCTTTTTCAGACCGATGAGCTTTGTAAAAATCGACGCGTTTCAGAAAGGTGGGGCATAGAGGAAGAACAATAATGTACAGTATGTGGAAAATAATGTGTTTTTTGAACCTTAAACCGTAAACACATTTCATTACACCAAATACACAAAATAATGTTCTTTTTAGCATCATCATATGACCCCTTTAATTCGCAAAAAAGTTTTACGCTCGCTTGAGGTGGTTTTTGACTTGTGCAAAAAAGGGTTAATGCGAATAAAAGGAGATGGAAACACATCTGCCGAGTAAATTCTTCCATGCGCATCAAAAAAAGTCATGTGACTGCAAAGATTTGCATAACGGTGCCCAAATGTTCACGCAAAGAAAGAAGGCGTAACTTTATTATTGCTGCCACGGCCACCGCCATGTTGTGAAGACGCTGTGTGTTTCGTTACGAAAGCGAAAAATACTTTGTTTGGTCTTCCAAAAGAGGACACGACTAGAAATCAGTGGTTAAGTTGTATTTACAACACGGTTCCAGAACACTTCAACCCAAATATTCAGATGTGTGCAGCACATTTTATGGAGGACTGTTTCCTGATCCTGGGAGAGTAGACTACAATGC